GTCTCTTATATCTACTTGTCTAAGAGGCACATTCTTCACGAGTATCACTTTATGTCCCACAGTCCAGTCCAATCCCTGTTGAATGTTTACTATTTTCTATAAAGCAACTTTATAATTTTTGTTAGTGTGTAGCAGAAAGCTGCTTTGAGGTGCAACGAAAACCTATAATGTTATACAAATAGAGTTCCGCTTCTAGTTGCCGTCAGTCGATTCTGACTCAAGGTGACTCTGTATGTGTCAGAGTAGAACCATGCTCCATACAGTTTTCAATGACTGATTTTTCAAAAATGCATCTCCAGACCTTTCTTCCAAGGCGCCTCTGGTTGGACTTGAACCTCCAACTTTTTGGTTAACAGCCAGATGCATTAACTGTTTGCAGCACCCAGGGACTCCACAAATAGAGTAAACCCACCATAAAAAGAGACGTTGGCTGATGTGCCTGGAGCTTCAAGGACAGCAGAAGAGAGGAGCATTAAGGTTCTAAAAGCTTTAAGATGGCCTTGGAGGATTTAAGTCTATCTGCAAGACTTCTACTTTGTTTTCATTGAGGGGAATGGGCAAAGGGGTTTCTTATGGATTGAATTGTGTCCCCCCAAAATACGTGCTGTAAATCTGAACCTCTCTGCCAGTGGTTATAATCCCATTTGGGAATGGGTTGTCTTTGTTATATTAATGAGGCAGGATTACTGTAGGACGTATCTCGAGTGAATCTCTTTTGAGATATAAAAGAGCAAATTAAGCAAGCAAGCAAGCACAAATGGAGGGGAATATACATGTCATATGATCACCAAGGAACCTAGGAATAGAAGCTAAAAAGAGACAAGGACCTTCCTCCAGAGCAGGCAGAGAGAGAAAGCCTTCCCCTAGAACCAGTGCTCTAAATTCGGGCTTCTAGCATCCTAGACTGTGATAAAATACATTTCTGTTTGTTAAAGCCACCCACTTGTGATATTTCTGTTATAGCAGCACCAGATGACTAAGACAAGGTTGCTTCATGAACATTTATTCATAAAATAAATGTTATATATATTCACACATATATACATGTGTATGTAAATGTATGTATACACTTATACACATACACACAGAAATGTGGGTCTCAAGCAGAGGTGGGAATCTGTTTGACGAACCTCCTCCTCCTGTGAGACTGGATAATAATATAGCATATTTATCAGCTGCTGGGGGTCGCCATACACAGGGAAGAACTGTGGCTGCCGGAGGATGATGGCAGGGACTGGAGTGATTTCCCGGAGTGCACTGCGGGGGTAGGGTCCAGGGCCCGAGTGGAAGACCTAACCTTCTCTCGAGCTATAGAAATAGGCGGACATCGGTTCCATGGGTCCAGATGCAGAGATAAGTTAGAAGATGGTGGGAAGAGCATGTGAAATTTCCCTCCAGATTGCTTCTCTGCTCTCTGCGAAATGGGAAGCAGTTCTATCTGCTGGGAGTGAGGATGGAGGAGGCCCTGGAGGTTTGAGGAAAGAGGACAGGAGTGGAAGAGGAGAGAGCTAGGGGTTGCAGGATTGCTCCAGTTGTTGTCAAGTCACCTGTGATTTGTGGACCCCATGTGTGCAGAGTAGAACAGCTCCATAGAGTTTTCAGGGCTTTGACCTTTCAGAAGCAGATTGCCAGGCCTGTCTTCCAAGGCACCTCTGGGTGGGTTCGAACCGCCAACCTTTTGGCTGGTGGTCAAGTGCTTAACCATTGCACCACCAGGGCTCCTTTATTTGGGGGAAGTGGCTGGGAATTTAAAACACAAAATGAACATCCGGGCAGCTAAACACTGCTAAAGCAAAACACAACACTTTAAATTCCCCAGCCCTGGTTAAATCCAAATCTCCTGTCACTGGGATAGTTCAGTGAAGGTAGAGCGGGACAGGGGAGTGGAGAGTATATCTGTGGTAACAGAATACTGAACTCAGAGATGTTCACATCCTTATCCCAGGACCTGTGAATATGGAACCTTACACAGTAAAAAAGGACTTGTTGTTGTTGTTGTTCTGTGCCATCAGGTCGATTCCGACTCATAGCGACCCTACAGGACAGAGTAGAACTGCCCTGTAGGGTTTTCAAGGAGCAGCTGGTGGATTCCAACTGCCAGCCTTTTGGTTAGCAGTCATAGCTCTTAACCACTTTGCCACCAGGACTCCTAAAAAGGATTTAATAATGGGATTAAGTTAAAGATTTTGAGGTGGGGAGATTATCATGGCTTACCGGAGTGGATCTGAACTAATCACTTGGGTCCTTAAAGAGGCGAACTATTCCTGCTGTGGTCAGAGGGAGATATAATTATGCGCGAATGACAAGAGAGATGCCATGTTGCTGGCTTTGAAGGTGGAGAAAGGGGCCACGAGCCAAGGCAATGTGAGTGGCCTCTAGGGGCTGGAAAGGGCAGGGAAACTTTTCCCCTAGAGTCTTCAGAAGTAAGGAATTCCTTCCAACACCTTCATTTTAGCCTAGTGAGACCTATTTCAGTCTTGTGAGCTCCGGAACTGTAGGATAATAAATTTGTGTTATTTTAAGCCACAGAATTTGTGGAACAATAGAAAACTAATCAGTACCCAAGGAAGAGATTATAATCCTGGACCATGGAATCTAAGTTGGATAAAGAGACGCGTTAAGAAAAAATGGAAAAGACTTACATTTTCCTTGAGTAAGAAGAATCAATAATATAAAGATGTCAATTATGCCATTAAAATCTATAAATTCAATGTAATTCCAAAAAAAAGTATCAAAAGACTGTTTTTTCTAACCATTTAACTAAATTAATCTCAGCTTCACGTGGGAGAATAAATATGTGAGGATGGTGTTATTGTTGTTGGGTGCCGGCAAGTCAATTTTGACTCATACTAACCCCATGTGACAGAGTGGAACTGCCCCATTGGGTTTTCTTGGCTGTAGTCTTCATGGGAGCAGATTGCCAGGTCTTTTTCCTGCAGAGCCACTGGGTGAGTTTGATCTGCCAACCTTTCAGTTAGCAAATGAGTGCTTAACCATCATGCCATCAGGGAGAAATCTAGTAAAGAGGTCTAATATCATCCCTATCTGTTTATTAAATGTATCATAAAGCTAAAGGAATTAAAAGAATACTGTACTGCCTCAGGAATAGACAGGCAGATCAAAGGGAGAGAATAGAGTTCAATAATGAACTCAAATATACATCAGAATTTATTATATGATAAATATACTTTTCTTGTCAGGGGAGAAAAGATAGATTATTATAATATCTGAGACAACGGGATAACCATGGGGGGGGGCGGACTGCATTCTGACTTTATTTCTTTCATCAAAATAATTTGATATGTAGTACATTATTTGAAGATTAAATAAATAAAACTACAAATGCACCCAGTAAAAACATAGCTGGAGGGTTATGTATTTTTACAGTGGGGAAAACTTCCTTAGAAGACACGCTATCCAGAAAATATGAAGAGAAGTAACAGATTTCACTACATAAAACAATAGAATTTTCTGTGTGGCAAATAAATAAAAGTGAAAAGACAAATTAGCAGCATGCTTGACAAACAAAAGACTAACTTCTTTACTATTTAAAGCTTTACAAATAAGATATTAATATGAAAAAGAGAAACAATCAAATTAAAATACAGGCAAATTACAGACCACTTACAGGGAAAGAAATACAAATGGTTTATAAATATTGGAAAAGACACTCAGCCTCATATTCATTAAAGAAAAGTGAGCTAAAACAACAAGGAGATTTTTTTTTCCTCCCGTAAAGATTGTTGTTGTTACGTTATATGCCACCGAGTCGGTTCTGACTTATAGCTACCCCATGTACAACAGAATGACACATTGGTGGGTCCTGTGTCATTCTCATAATCGTTGCTATGTTTGAGCCCATTGTTGCAGCCACTGTGTCAATCCATCTTGTTGAGGGTCTTCCTCTCTTTTGCTGACCCTCTACTTTACCAAGCATGATGCCCTTCTCCAGGGACTGGTCCCTCCTGATAACATGTCCGAAGTACATGAGATGAATGAAGCCTCACCATCCTCGCTTCTAAGGAGCATTCTAGCTGTACTTCCTCCAAGACAGGTTCGTTTGTTCTTCTGGTAGTTCAGGATATATTCAATATGCTTTGCCAACAGCATAATTCAAAGGCATCATTTCTTCTTCAGTCTTCCTTTTTCATTGTCCAGCTTTCGCATGCATGTGAGGTGATTGAAAATACCATGGCTTGGATTGAGAAATTAAGCAAAACCTAATGGCCGGCATGAACTTCCATTTATACATCTCTTCA